CACCAGGCTCAACGAGCGCATAGGCACCCTCAACATTGACCTCCAGAATCTTGTTCATGTTCTTTCCTAACTCGATACCCACACTTCCCGGCACGCGAGGCGCAGTACCACCATATCCAACGTTCCTGCCAGCCGAGAATGGCCAGACGGGCACGACAAACTCGTTGGCGAGCTTGACAATTGCTTGGACCTCGGGAACGCCTCGGGGCGCTACAACGGCGGAAGCTACAAAGTAGTCTCGCTCGTACACGGCGTGCATGTCGTGCGTCTTGCAGTTGTCCATGTAGGTGCCATCGTCGAGAGGGTTCTGAGGGTCAACCACGGTGACATTCTCGATGCCTACGATGGACTGAGCGCGGGTGATGAATGCCTGGAAGGCCTCTGGAGTGACGTTTGGCGGAAGACGCCTAGGAAGAGGGGTATTTGTTGAAGAAGCCATGATCAGGTTCGAATTAGGAAGAAGGAGGGACTAAAAGCGAGTTGGTGATATGTCGAGGAGTCGTTCTTGGGCTCTCTCGGACTTGGTATGTCTGGTGAGGATCGCGAAGGGCGAGCAGCCGTTTATATGTAATCAGCAATCTGCTTGCGATTGTTCCTTGGACTTATCCTTCCTTCCCATCCATCCGCGCACCCCTGTTGAAACTTCTCCTCATAGTAATGGAATTGTTTTCTGGCGGAGGTTATGAGTATCAGTTTCCGGTTTTAATTCTACTTTCGAGTATCGCACAGCGGTCCCAATAAATCAAATCAAATCAAATCTGACCTCAAATTTGATTTTGTGGGTCAAATCTGAGGTTAGATTTGATTTGATTTGATTTAATTTAATTTAATTTACGTAGATTTGTTATATACAATCTAATTTTAAATTCAAAAATCCTTTAATTATTACGATTTCTATTATTCTAAACTCCCCTTATCTCTCTAAATCCCCTTACATACTTTCCTTTATCTAAAATTTCAAATTTTCGAATACGTTAATAAAATCTACGCTAAGGCTTTATTTCTAAATATCGAATATTAATTTAATACCGCTAAACGCCCTTTCGCAATTATCCGCTATAGAGGGTATAAAAAAGTAATTAAATACTATACGTACTAACCGAAGGTAATAATTTTAATTAACTTTCTACTACCCTATTAAATCGTTATAAATAAATATTCTATTATTAAAATAATAAAATAATTTATCCTCTTATTTAGGTTTAGAAGGGAGGGTATTATAAAAATCGTAATTAATAAACTAATCGTTATTAGCAATTTTAACCTATTAATTACTAATATTAACTAACGGGTCTTCGATTAATTAGTTAACGTAATTAATATTATAAATAAATTAGAAATCCTTAAGGATATTATTATATTCTTTCTTAGGGAAATTCTTATATACTTACTACGTACAGTAATTAAAGTATAGAATTAATGCAATTTAATATATTAAGTTCTTTTTCATCTTTTCTTTATATTTTTATAATTTCGCTATTACCCTATCGATAATATACCCTACGGCCTCCATACCTTTATTAAATAAATCGTTAGCGTAATCGACGGGTATTTTTAATTATTAAGGAACCGTAATAGGGCTTCGAAATTTAAATCGAGAAGAAGAGGGGACGGAGGAAGAAGAAGAGGGAAATTAACGAAAGGGTAGTATTAACGAAGGTTAGGAATCTAATACTTTAATAAATAATTCGTTATTATTAAAAAAGGATATATTAAGAATAGGTAATATACGTAAGCGCGTACTACGTCGAATAGAAATAGTAATAATATTAATATTATTAATATTATTAATATTAAGAATATTATTAATATTAAGAGTAAAAATTATATAAATATTAGATTTAAGGATTTTTAATCCCTTAAAGGGTTTAAATATAATATCCCTTCGAAATTTAACCCTTATTATACGTAATATATCGACTAAAATATATAAATTGGGTATAATTAAATTAAAGAAAGGACCGCAAACCTTAAACTATTTAATAAAATTTTCGAATAGGCCTATTACTTTTATAATAGCGGTAAAAATCCCCTAATCGTTATTATTAAATTAATCTTCCTTCGGTATTTTTTTATTTTTATTTAAATAATTAATTATTTCCCTAATATAGTAATCGATATATTTATAAAGTTTCTATACGCGATAGATTATATAATAATTAAAATTTTAGCGCATTATATTATTAAGGATAATATTAATATTAAGGGATAATATATCCTTATCGATAACGGTACCAAACTATAATTATACTTTTTCGTCGAATATATTATTACGGTTAAATTATATAATTTATTTAAATTTAATACAATATTAAAAGCTTTGTCGAATAAATTAAATAATATTATATAACCGACTAATCGGTCCAATTTTACACTACTCCTAAAGCAAAGTTTCCTTATTAGCGGGAAGAAAACGAGTAAAAATATATTTAAAATCGGGAATTTAGGGAAGCCTACCCTTAACGGCGGCCTTCGTACCTAAATTCAAAACGTAACCGAAATAATAAAAGCGGCGTTTAATCGCTTCCTATTTAACTTTCCTAATAATAATAGCGGAATAAAAATTATTTTAAATAAAGGATATATAATAGTCGTTAAACTCGATATTATTATATTAGAATAATTTTACGTCGCCGGTACAAATACTAAATAAATTAATAATAAAAAGGATTATAACTATTATATTCTCGCCGTTATAATTACCTTATACCTTAAAAAGACTAAATAGATTATTTTTAAGGTTTTGAATATAATCCGTATAATAAATAAAGATTATTATTATAATAAAATTATTTAAAAAAGGTTTAAAAATCGAAAGAAAAATACTTTTTAAAATAGGATTTAATTAAGCAATCCTATAATCGATCGAAGTAAACGGTATACTTTTCTTTAATTATATTTAATAAAGAGGTAAAAAATTTAAATAATAATTTATTAATTATATTACTATTAAATAGCTTTAATAAATCCCTAAATACTTTATTACTAATAAAAATAAACGGGAATTACGCATTAAGGGTTATTTCTATTAATAATTCGCAAAACCTCTCCCCAACTAATTTAATAATAATTTAAAATTATCGATTAATTATATCCTATACCGATTTAAATTTCTTCTTAATTTAATTATCCTTAGGCGGGACGTCGTCTAATTCCCTAATACTATAAGCGCAATAAAAGTAAATAATAATAAAATTCGTAACGTAAAATATAAATAGGCTATAATATTTATAATAATAAAAGAACGAATTTATAAAATTACTATCGTTACCGAACTTAATTAAAATAATACTGTATTAAATAATTTACAATATCCGTTTAGCCTTAAAATTCTATTATTTTTCTAATATATAAACTTTATTTTTAATTATAACCTTCGGCCAATTAATAAAATCGGTAAAAAGGTCGGTAATAAGAATATTTTCGAATATTTCGAATTATTTACTAATAGGGAGCCGCTTATTTTTAAACGTATTAATAATAACATTAAGGGTATTTAAATCCGAAATAATAATAACGGTCGGTAGGTTGCCCGTAATAAATAAAACGTCGGCGTAATTTATTTTAGAAGCGATTAATATCGTAATGACGGTATTAATAAATTTAAATAATAACTAAAAATAATTAATAATAAAAGGGAAATAAATTAATAATTTTAACGACGTTATTTAATTTATTTAGATTAAATAGCGTCGGTAATATAACCTCTAAAGTATTAGCGATATAACCTCCAAGTATTCGATTATACGTAAAATACCAAATCTAGCAAATTTAGAATTTTTTAGTTAATTTAGGCGCTATAGGCGGTAAGTCTAATTTACTAGTCTATATTGCCTACCCGAGGGTTGAGAGGTAGACTATCTCTCAAAGGTCAAAATCGGTTATTTTTACACTTATAACCCTAACCCAAAGATATTGCCGAAATATTAAGAAGGCGGACAAATCGATAAATCAAATCTGGACTTCGATTTGATTTGATTAAATCAAATCCGGACCATGATTTGATTTGATTTATATTTATATTTGTTTATATTTGCGAGATGGATTTGATTTGTTGGGACCGCTGGTATCGCAGCGGCCGCTAGAACCTCAACTATCCGGCACTTACCAGTATGGGGGAGGATCCAGGGTGCTATGCTCGGGTACCTTTGCAGGAAAAATAGCTCGTTCGACGATCACGGTGCTGCATGTAAGACGCCTAGCTCTCCGTGGGGTGTAGGAACATGCATCCATGACCATTGATGGTCCCTCTCGGCCGCCTATCTATTCCTCCAGGAGAACTTTCTCCCGGTATTAGGCGGGTTTCATCACGTCGGGGTCCATGAGTTCCACTATCATACCACCGCGCGAAATGGAACCAAGGGTGCTGTGGACGTGGATCTCGCGGTCGTTGCCGTACACTAGTGCGTGATATCAACTTGAATAGCTTCCTTCGAAGGAGTAAAGTGGCTGACATGGAAAGCACTGGGAAATGATCGTCATCGTCGCCGTCGAAAGGCCTTGCGCATGGGCCTAGGTGAGAAAAGGTTGAGGTACCAAGCGGGATGTGAAGCCCGCAATTCTGAAGTGGAACGGGAGCTTCTCGAGGAATGTAGCCGGGCAATCGTGAAATTGATCCATGGTGGTCCCCCTCTTGCAAGAGGCGAGGATTAGGGAACGAAGGGCTGTCGATTGTGGTCACTCGTCAGCTCATGGAGGTTGTCGGGAGCAAAACCCGAGTTGATTTGTGGTACAACGCCGCAAAGAGATTGCCGCACCTGCCTTGCAAAGTGTTAAAGCTGAGAAGAAAAGCATGTTTCCGGGGAAGTTGCAACTCACATCACAGATGAATCACTCAATTAATTTGCTTCTATGCAAAGCTTCGCAAATGATGGACAAACCCTATGGTTACGTCGCTAAAGAGCTCCATAACAGCGGTTTTGACAAAAAAGGAGCCTCCTCGAGCTTGTTCGTTGAAAAAGAGCTCGGAAGCAAGCGCGGGAAAAAAGCGAAAAAAGAAGTGCGCCGACCGGGGTTCGAACCCGGGTCCCTCGCTGGTTCCAAAGGAATTTGGGAAGCGAGGATGCTAACCACTATACCATCGGCGCGGCTTGCTTATTGGAAATAACTTCATGAGCTTGTGTTTATGTATGCCAAGACCATACCCCGCACCAGCACCAAGGTCCGGTTAACCTCGGCTTGGCATGCTCGGCATGCTGACATGCCACCACCACTTGCGAGACACTTTGTTTGCATTCTCGCATTTCTCACCATGCATCCTCACCTTTTCCTACAAAGCTTCACGGGTTTCAAGCCTCGCCGACCAAGGCAAACGGCAATGTTGATACTATGAGGATGGAGCATTTTTGAAGGTTCACTTAAGCACGATCGCGTGATGCGGCATGGGCTTGGAAACACAGGTGTTCGAAGAAACAAACTTCTTATTCTGGCAGCTCACAGGTACCCAACAGGTGTCACAAACTCTCGATGTCCAATTACTCCTTCACCTTGACCGCGATGTCAATCGCGCGCTTCGTCGCCTCATCCAAATCCTCCTTTGGCAGTCCCAACAACCGGTTATCCACATCCTCCTCATCGAAAGTGGACTTGCCAAAGAAACCCACGTCCTCAGGCAAGAAAATGGAAGCATACAAGGCAAGCACAAACCCTTGTCTGGGATCAGTCGCCATAAGTTTCAACCCCCGCTCTCTTCTCGCCACGGAAGGCTCCTTCGTGATAATCCAATCCTCATCCGTGGTTCCCATAACCCGATGCACCGAGTCCAGCATATCCCTCTGCGAGACATTAAAGCTTCCAACACTCAGCGGCCTGTTCCTCCACCTCGACACCGTCAGACCATGATCGTTCTCATCCTCAGGTAGCTCTTTCAAGCTGAACAGCTTCGCGATCGCTCTTCCAACCTGCCTGGTCGTGGAAGTCCAGATCTTCTTCTCGCCGTCATCAAACAAGGTCACCTTCTTGTCCGGCAGCGTGAAGCCGTAGGCGCGCTCGCCTGTGTAGAGCGAGAATTCGTACCAGAACGAGCAGCACACGCAGATCCAGCTCGACACCCCTTCCGCTTCGACTTGCTTCAGGTTCTGGTACACCATTTCGCCGTGGATGGACTTCTGGCGCTTTTCCTCGTCGTCGAGCCAGAGCCATCCCCATCCGTTGGGAACGACGTAGGGAACGCCAGCCTTGGCGGCCGCGACGACGAGCCGGTGGTGGGTGTCCGGAGCGGCTGCGGGCGAAAGGCAGATGATGAGGACTTGTTGGCCCCGGAAGGCGTCGACTAGGGCGGCTTCGCCATCTTCACTGTCGTAGGATACAGCGATGGTCTTGACGCCGGCGGGCACTGAGTTGGTGCTGCCGGGCCGGGTGAGGGCGGTCACGCTATGCTTTCCCGTAGCGAGGAGTTCTTCGGCGATGGGGTAGCCAACTGTACCGCCGGCCTGTAGGTTGGTCAATAGGGAGGCTCAAAGAATGCGGCTTTAGGCATTGACTTACACCGACGATGGCAATGCGCTCGATGCGGTTGGTGAACCCGGCTGGTTGATCTTTGGCGCACTTTACGGACATCGTGGCTATCGGAGTTCCACTTGCAAGTAAGTGCTTTGATAGTCGTCTTGTTTGATGTGTTAATGCTGTCGTTGATGAAGAGCTCTCGACAACAGTTACTCAAATCATCCTCTCCTACTTATACTCATCTCCAACACATCCTCATTGTTGCGATGCGGCCGTCTAAGTCCGTTCCTTCCAGATGGTGACGCCATCTACTCGGACTCGGATTGCAAAGGAGAATTAGCAGTGCGCATCGAATCCGAGACGAGCCCATCATTCACTGTTTCTGGTTGCTTAGCGTCACTGCTGAAGCTGAGGCTCCATTGTGTTAACCATTGACGGTTGATGACAAATGATTCCAGGATCATCTTGCTTCGGAGATATTGATCGATGCTTGTTAGAAAGGACACCTGCCGTAGCAGTCTCAAGCGGATTGGCCAACAGAGCGGGAAGCTCCCGATTACTCTTAACTCCGCGCACACGGCACCCTATCTCCGCCGCACACGCCGCCAACATCATCACCAAACAAAGGGTGATCATACGAAGTTGCTTGGAGACCAATTTTCAATGTCGCTTAAATACATACGTCTTATTACTCCATCAAGGCGTCCTTTTCGCATATTATACCTGGGGTTTCCGATCTACACTCTTTTCAACATTCGTTCAGCATGGAACCACGAAGTGCCCTGCACAAGGAGCGCTGAGGCTATTTTCGCTTCCAAACAGAAGACTCATATAATACTGTTAGTTGCTTTTCATCAGACTCTCGTCTATGCCTTGGAATCTTTCAATCGCTGTCTCTACCCCGACCACTCTACGGAAACCAGGAAGTCAGTGCCAACCAGGTAAGTCACATTTTAAACGCTGTCAATCATTTCCAGTCATCGTCAAGATCAAAGGTACATTGACTTCTGGAATGTTAACTGCGTTCTGGCCAAATAACCTGACCGCGAATACCTGGACGGTAGGATTTGTACAGAGCCACAACTACTTATATCTCCGAGCCGTTGCGGAGCCGGTCGGTAATCGAGACAAATTATGGCTGCTGTTATACGACAACTATCTTCGCGGCTCTTTATACCAACCATGGAAGACGAGGCTTGAAGGTGCAGCATTTGGGGTAATGTCAGTGATGCAGTGGTTGGGATCGTGTTACCCAAGAGACCCGTTGATCTGTTATGTCACAAGGTCAAGATGTACACATCTTGTGGGTTGTTGATGGCTGGAGGAGACTGGTTGGTGATGCGGAGGTGTGGGGGTATCGCTGGTGATATTCGACAATCGGAACGAATGTTTTGCTACAGATACTCCAATCACTTGTTGAGGGTTCATTCTTACCGTATTTGATGTTCGAACCAGATGCTTTGCGAGTATAAGACTTCGAGGTTGCAATTGTTGCCCGTGACCGTCGAATCTTGGGAGAGAGACAGAAAGAAGACGGATGTTCTCTGGGATAGCCGGCCCGGCCCCGCACTCCTCCGCGTTTACCCCACATTCACGGCCCCGCATCACAATCCAGACCGTCCGGTTTTAGCGCACAGTTTCAGGTACCGATGCCTTCGAATTGTTAAGACTTTCATTGTCCGTGACCTGAGCTGGCACACAATAAGACGTGCTGCTTAACAGAAACGACTCTTTAGTACCTGCACTATAGTCCTAAACGTCCCAAACGTCTCAAACAGTGAACGGACAGCGTCAAGTCTCTCCTTCCCTTTGGACCATCAATGTCTCTGTCCTTAAGCAGAGGTCTCGACCAGCTGCTCATTCGCACTTTCCATTATGAGGTCTATGTCGAAATTTTAGGCACCCAATAGAGCAACGGACAACGCAGAAGCTGCAATCACTATTTTTTCTTCCCATTCTTCTCCAGAACTTCTCGCACCGTACTTCGCTCTTGTTGCTGCCTGTCGCGATATTTCATCACCAACCACCAGCCCTTCCACTACACCAAGGGCGGCCACACGACCAGCTAACACCAGTTCCGCCGAGCCGGCCGAACGCATGTTTCTCGCCAGTTCCTGCACGTTGCTTGTTTCCGGGTAATATTGCACCAGTCAACGCCCATCAATAGCGACAACTGTTTGATACCCAAGGGCGGGGTAGGTACCCTTTAAGGCTGGCTATGCAGTCAATCACGGTCATCTTCGAACCGCGCGCAATCCACGGCGTGGGAAAGGGAGGGCGAACGACGCGGGGAGGGTAGGAGCAACCAGCGATCATCGGGTTCTGGCTCTTTTATTTACGAATGGTGTCGTTGTTGTACAATGGAATCATGATGCAGCAAGCTCATTGTTCCCTCATTACCCCTCCGCCACCTCCCTCCTCATACTCCTCTTTTTCCTGGGATCTTGGATGACCGAGTATCTTTTCTCGGAGACACCAAAAGACACGATCTCAGGCCGGCTTAGATCACAGGAACGAAAGGTGTCGTGTAGCCGTCCTCGACTTGCGAATACCGACCTGTATCCCTAAAGCAGCACCGTACGACTGAACACCGGGTCACGACAGGCGACAATAAAGCACCAGTCGAGTCCTGTACCTCTCTTTCTACGATCAAGAATTATCTCGACGACTCTTCTGACGTCAGATCGCGTCGACAAAGGCTTTTCGGAATTCCTTCAACTATATCCTTTGAACTTCGCGTATGTGGGTCGTGGAATGAGCAGTTAAGGTCTGGTTCGTCTCGACGGCGGAACCATTCCAGATAACTCGACCGTTGTAGATCACCATGTGGTCGTGGTCGGGTCTGCGGCCAGCCTTGGCCCAGACTACTTCTGCTTCTCTGTCTCCAGCATCTCGTATCATTGCGCGCCTTCTCGGTAAGTCAGAATACCAGAGTGTCCGAAAAGCTCGAAACCCCTTGGATTTCTGCTCTTTAGTCTGTCAAAATATGGACTTGCACAGTCAATTGGCGACAGAGACTTGGGATGACATTGCAAGATCGGATGAGCTGGCGAGCAGACATGAGATGAACTTCAGGTGACTGATCTCTCCGCAGACTGCAATCAAACTCCGGCCATTCGTATTGGCACCGTCATAAGTTCTCGTCAATCGTGGCATAGCACATTTCACAAAGAACAACGTCCCGGTTCTCCGTCTCTGGCCCTTACGATTCCCAGAGTTCAGTCCTTGCAAATTGTTCGTTATGCCTCGGTTATCTCCTCGATTTCGCCTCAGTTGCTGCCTAAGGGTTACTCGGCCACATACTCTACCGATGCCACTGCCACCATCCTGCCTACCGTTCCCTACAAGCAGCTTACCGTAGGCGTCCCCCGCGAGACGTACCCCAATGAACGCCGTGTCGCCTTGACTCCTCAGAATGTCGCTCTCCTGCTCAAGAAAGGGTTTGGAAAGGTCCTTGTCGAAAAGGGGGCCGGTACCGAAGCCGAGTTTCACGATTCTGCATACGCAACAGCTGGAGCAACCCTAGTCGATTCTGCTTCTGAGGTATGGAGCAACGCCGACATCGTGCTCAAGGTTCGTGGCCCCAGCGTCTCCGAAGCAGAACTTCTCAAGAATGGTCAAACGATCATAAGCTTCCTTCAGC